GTGATTTGTCAAAATGTCTGCATCTTGCGCCAGTTGCGAAACCTCTCTATAATATAATGCGACATGGCAAATTTTATAGAAAGTTCCTGATACAACTATTAACCTAGTAGGTATTAGCAAAGGAAAATTTTATTAGTGGGCGAGCTCTGTGAGGTTAACTCTCTTCTTTAGTCCTATTGCAAGTTATTCTAGCTATAGTACGATCAGAACGATGAACCTTGAATAAAAAAGATAATTTAAGTGCCAAGTGCTAAAGCATACAACTTCGATGAAAGTATTACAGTAGAAGGTTTAAATTTGGCTAAAATAATATTAGGTTTAAATGGGGCTCCGTTTTATACGCTTAGATGCAACTTCATAAAAGTCAACATCTAAAAATTGCATCGGATAAATATCTTTGATTCCCTAGGCTCAATTACACGTGTGTGAAAAATGCATACGAGTTGAATTTGAAGTTCAGCTCTTTTATTAGCATGGCCTCATACTAGTTATAGTTTCAAAGCTGGCAAATAAAGCGAATAAAGCGAGTTTTTCTTGATTAAAGACTATACTATTTGTATACAACCTAATTTTTAGCAGTAATTTAACAGAATATAAAGCTTATAAATTCAGCTCAAGGGGCGAGAAAGTTAAAAAAACGAAGAATAAACTTAAGTATTTATCCAGGAATGTTAAAGAAATTCTACAATAATAAGTCTCTTAGAGTGTCTATTCTTGTGAATACTAGGCAAATCAGGGAGCACAAAGAGGTGATTACGAATGAGAGTTAATAAACTATTCATAGGGGCCATATTAAAAAAGGTTTACCCAGAGTCCTCCTCGATCCATTTGATTGTTTTCTTCGCACTATCCCAGTCCACGGGCTAAAATGTTTTTTAATGGGAAGCAAAACTTATTTTATTTTTTCATTAATTAGATATTAGTTAAAGTATTCTCCTTATTATTAAAATTATGTATATTTATAGGTTGTAAGTAAATTTGAGCGCAGGATTCGCCTGTAATTTGTTAAAATATAAAGAAATCAAATGGAGGTAGTTATATGTGGAAAAAAAGTGGACTACAAAAAATCCTTTAGTAGAATAATGTAATCTGACATGTAATTTCAAATGAAATGTTGGCAGTAAAGCATTCGTGAATTTTCCTCGATAAAAACACAAGGAAGGCTTCTTTTGAGGTAAAACTACTCGAATGTGCGAAGAGACCGCGATGAGTCCGTACTGCGCTTTCCTCTGCCATGTGACGGACATATTCAGAGAGGTAGACCACCATTTTCGAGAAAAGCAACAATGACCAAAACGCGAGCAAGTTTGCTGGCTGCAATTATGCTCATTTATTATACCTAATTTTGCCATCATAATGAAATGTTCGTTGAGGCCGATTCACGAATCTCTTCGAACCAACTCTATTCTATCATTGGACGAACGTTGTTGACATACCTAAAATGAATGAAAGAAATACTTGCTTCCTTGAAAATAACTTCTATTATTCGTGCTTCATTATCATGCGAATTCAGAGGCGCCCTGTTATACAAAAAATATTCGCAAAGTCATTATGCTAAAAGACTAGCTTTAAAGATAGGTCAAAAGATTTTACATTCATAGTCGAACTAGCGGTATATAGAAATGGACAATCTATTTAAAATAAATTGGGAAAAGGCAAGATACAGAGAGCCGTCAAAATAAGGTGAGAATTAGTAAAAAAAATATAGTGTACTAATCGTTTTATATGGTTTTTAAATACAAATTATCCAAAATCTTAAACACAGCTGGGCAATTTTATGAGGCCAAATATTTTATTCCATTAAGTAGCACCCGATGGTAAGTGAAATAGGTTGTACCTAGATCGTAAGAACAACTACTTATAGGCTATATGAATATAAATAAATTTATAGTTGGTTTGGTCTGATATCTCTTCTGATGTATAAATAAATAATAACTTAAATTGAATGGTATTATCTAATAACAGCCAGAATAAAGGTGACTTGAAACAAATGATACAGAACTGATTACTGAAGTGGATTTAGAAATAATTATGTCTGGGCTAAAGGTTAATCGAGATACCTACCCCCTGACTATCACTTGGAATATGCACATATATCCGAGTCAGTCGACAGATTATTCGCCGCCGGTTGAATCTAACTGGAACTGAAGCTCCCGATCCTTTCTCTGGGATCGGTTGTTGTGAGACTGTCTGTGTTGGTAGTCGACGCCGACCATCTCCCCCAGCCTCCACAGTTCCTGGCGCCAAATTGGCAGCAAATCTATCGGATTTGCTTGGGCAAAAGGTTACGGTAATCAGTTTAGATTGACCATTGTGAAGGTGTCCTTCACTTGGCCAGAATGTTAATCCTGAGACGTCTTTCGGCCAGGAGAATCGGAGGCTTGGTGGCTGGCTAGTGTCTGCTGCAACCGTTCCACTTAAAGCCGTGTCAATGGGAGCCGACGTATTAGCTGCTAAGGAAGTGGAAGCAGAAGAGGCAATGACGGGAGCTGCAGTACCATGAGCCCCTTCAGTTCTTGGCATAATTGGGGACATTGCTGGGCTGTTGGATTGTGCATGAGACATCACTGATACAGAGCTTTGAGTATGTCGAGAGGCTCCAATCTGTCCTGCGCGAGATTTGCCTGCTTGCGACACGTGACCCTCACGATCGCCGACCCCAAATTGCCCACTACCAGCTACATGTTCACCAGATTGGCTCGACGAGGAAGCAGAAACAACGGCAGAGGGCGGCACCAACATGAAGCGACCTGCAGGTAGACTCGAAGCACGATAGGTCATGCGAAAACTCAGCGAAATAGAGTCACCAAGTGGGCAGTCGCCAAAGTCCAGATGGTTATGGCAAAGATCTTAATTATGAGATAGTGTAAACAGCATGATTAGAGGTGAGATTATACTGGTTCATGAAGCAAAATAAGAATAAGATGGGAAACAGACAATGAAAATAACTATATGTAGATATCATTTCATTGAATCTATATGGGATATTTATCATTTGAGAATAAGGATCTCGCATAAGATGTTAGGTGAATTTAACATGTGAAAAGCAAAACAAAAATATCTTTTATAATGTTGTCGTTATTGTAACTAATATCGTTGAATTGTCTGCTAATTAAAGTGGTACAAATGTTATTGTGGAAATTTATTTCATAATTATTAAGGTTGATATTTTGGGGAAATTCAGCTACCAGTCCTCATCACCTTAAACGAAGTTGGGTGAATATAACTCATAGAATGAAGCTAACCTGCCCCTGCAACCTGGACACAAATTTCAACGGGTCCCTTCTTAAATTTGACAAGCTATCTAATGTGTCCTAATATTTCATTTAAGCTATACTGATCATTTCGAAATTTACCCCTTAAATATATTCTAATCTAAGGCAACAAAATCAAAATTTATTTTGAAAATTTGCTAAAACCATGATTAAACAAAGAAAAA